GGTTCTGTTTGTGCCTTTTTAGTTAAATATTTTCAGGGTGACATTTTAATTCTCTTATTGTTTATTTTAGGATATTTTTAAGTTTTTTTTTAGTGGTTGCCCTGGGAATTACAATTAACATCTTAATTTTAAAAATCTAATTTAGATTAATACCAATTTAGTTTAATAGTATATGAAAAACTTTGCTCCAGTATAGCTCCATTCCATCCCCCTCTTTTGTGCTATTAGTCATATAAATTACATCTTTATACATTATAATTTCGTCAGCACAGTTCTATAATTATTGCTTTATGCATTTGTCTTGTAAATCAAATAGAAGAAAAGAATTACAAACAAATATACACTGTTTTTTATATTTACCTGTAGTCACCTTTCCTAGTGCTCTTTATTTTTTCATGTGGATTTAAGTTACTGTCTAATGTCTTTTTATTTAAGACTGAGAGACTTCTTTTAGTATTTCTTGTAGGAAAGGTCTAATAACAAATTATCTCATTTTTTTTAATCTGAGAATATCTTGATTTAGTCTTCATTTTTTAATGATAGTATGGCTAGAGTTAGGATTCTTGGTTGACATTCTTTCACTGCTTTGAATATGTCATTTCACTGCCTTCTGGCTTCCATCATATCTGCTGGTAAGTTACCTGTTACTCTTATTAAGAATCATTTTTACCAGACGAGTTGTTGTTCTCTTACTGCTTTCAAGATTCTTTGTTTTGGGATTTGACCGTTTGACTATGATGTATCTGTATGTGAATATCTTTGATTTTATCCTGTTTGGAGCAGTTCATTGAGCTGCTTGAATATGTAGATTAAAGGGTTTCTTTTATCAAATTTGGGAAGTTTTTAGCCAATATGTCTTCAAATTTTTCTTTTTTCTTTTTTTTTTTTAATTTTTATATTTTTTTAGGTGATGCAACCTTTGGTTGACCTTATAGATTGCAAGGACCTTGTCAGCTTACAATCCCTTATTTTTTTATTTTTTATGCCTACGGCACCTAGTCTTTCTAGGTGGTCTCCCATCCAAATGCTAACCAGGTCCGACCCTGCTTAGCTTCCAAGATCAGAGGTGATCGGGCCTGTTCAGGGTAGCATGGTACCTTGTGTCCCACAGACCTCTGATACTCCATTCATTTTTCTTCATTTTTTTTTCTATCTTTTCTTCTGGATTTTCTCAGTTGACCTATCTTTATGTTTGCTGACTCTTCCTTCTGCTGGTTTAGATTTGCTGTTGAGCCACTCCACTGAAATTTTTATTTCAATTATGCTACCTTTCAACTCTAAAATTTCTGTTTGATTCTTTTTAAATAATTTCTATCTCTTTTATTGATATCTTTTGTTGATGAGCTATTGCTATTATACTTTACTTTAATTCTTTAGGCATGGATTCCCTTTAGTTTATTGAATATATTTTTAATAGCTGATTTTAAAGCCTTTTCCTAGTAAGTCTAACATCTGAGCTACCTCAGGGAGAGTTTCTACTGACTTCTCTTTTCCTTTGTATGGGCCATAATTTCCTGTTTCATTTCACATCTTATAAATTTTTTTGGTTGAAAACTGGGCAATTTAAATAATGCAGCAACTCTGGATAGCAGATTACCTCCCTTCCCCAAAACATCCCCAGGTTTTGTTGTTGTGGTTTGTTATTTTGCTGTTGATGATGGATGATGTTTGTTTGCTTGTTTATTTAGTTACTTTCCTGGACCAGTTTTTAAAGGTCTGTATTCTTATATGCAGCCACTGAAATCTTCATTGAGTTAGCCTAGTGATCAGCTAATATCTGGACAGAGATTTCCTTAAATGCCTTAAATCAACAAGTCTTCCACACTTTGCAAAATATCTTTGTGTGTCTTAGGGCTTACCTTCAGCGCTCTAGCAGTTTACATTACTGCCTGAGCCGTCACTTCCCATTACACAAAGCCTCAGAGTCAGCAAGAGGTGAGAGATGAGGCATCTTAGGCCTTTCCTGGGAATGTGTACAGCCCCTCTACACGTGTGTGTGGCCTTTTAGATTCTCAGAAATATATCAGAGCTTTTCAAAGACCCCTATGGATATCTCATTCCCCAGATTTTTCTTTTAAGCCTTTTGGCCATTCTCTTGTCTGCCCCAACTGATAACGCTGTTTCATGTGGCAGGGATGTTAAATTATTATGGCTGATTTTATTTTCAACAAATGCCCTAGTGATAAGGCTTTTCTCACCAAGTAAGCTCGCAGTCAGGTCAAATAAGTCCTCCGAATGGGGCTTTCCCAGATTGCTGCCAAACAGATCAAAAAGTAACAATTCTCTGGGAATGGCACTTTTTCAGGAGCTCCCAAACCATTTTGTCCCTTCCAGTGACTGTGAGGCTACTGGATTTCATTACTACCATGGCTCCTCAGCTGCTTGTTTTCAAGGCTGCCATGGAGGTAGAGAGAGGGAGAGGTGGGGCTGGGGCAAGTTAAAATGCAACAAAGCCCACTGTTCCTACCGAGACTCAACCATTTTTCTTCAATAATACTCCTTGGATTATTGCAAGCCTTTGATTAGCCAGTCTTTGCCAGCGTTTTATTGCTTTCTTAGAGGAGCACGTTTGGGGGCTCCTTACTCTGCCATTCCTAAAGTGCTTGTCCTGTCAGTGTATTCTTAACATTCAAGAAAGCAGGTTCTTAAAATCAAATGCTCAGGGGCCATGACCCAAAAACTGAGACCCACGGACTCGGTTGCATACCAGTCCATTTGGATTCTAGCCTTCCCTATGCTTTGGGGTTTAGGCACCGGGCTGAGTGAGTATAGGGCTGCCTCTGTTCTACCCAGCTTGTATCTGCTCCCATCTGACCTGCGAGCGTGCCTGGAACTCACTCGCATGCAGCCCTCTGAGAGAAGAGAAACAGAACCCGCATCTAATACACTGGTCCCGCCCATTCTCATAGTCTAGAGGTCAGGAGGACCCCATTGAAGAAGCGTGTGGCAGTGGTGGTGGTGGTCTCACATCAGGTTTTCCTCTTGTTTTA